GAACCATCGCTATAACAATCACAACAACCTCATGGGCAATCCATATTTTCACAACCTAGACAACCAGAACAAAAATCATAACCACTATTATAAAACATTTGACAATAACAACCTTCACATTCTTTCATTTCTATTCCATGTTCTATCGGATAAGGGTTTTCTCTACTCATTCATGATATTTCTTTCTTTTAATTTCTAACTCATCTTGACGAGAATTTATTAATTTTCCCGTTTTTTTTGTCTTTCTATTCATAGTAACTTTTTTTTAATTTGTATTCCACAACCTTATTTTGAAATTAATTAACTAACTTTATAAAATTTTAATACAATATTACATTATTCAATTTAAATGCCCACTTTTTTAAAATAAGACTAGACTGTGCAGCAATTCAGCAAAGCATAAAAGGCGAGTAATAATTTTGCATACCGTTATTATGGAAAGTAAGCAATTTTTAAGTGTAAAATTGGTCAAGGGACTGCATATTGTTTTAGAATTAAACTGCGGTGCAAGTATTTTGTCATAAAATTTACAAAAATTAATTATAAATAATGAAAAATATTTGGATAGAAAAGTGCAATTTTCGAAAATTAATAGAAAAATTAGTCCAAGAAAAGTCTAGGCTTTCCTTACCAGCCTATCAACGAGAATATAGTTGAGATACTGAAAATTGAAGAGAACTCCTTGAGGACATTAAAGATATTAGAAATAAAAACAAGAATAAGAAAGAGGAAGAACATCCAAATATCTGATTTATTGGAAGTATTATTTTACAAAAAAAGCCAGATGGAACTGATTACGACATTATTGATGGCCAACAGAGACTAATTACTTTTTTTATTCTTTTCATAACCATTTATTCTGTAATTCCTGCTGATCAAATTGATGATAAGAAAAGTTTGCTTCCTTTTTTGTTTTGTGATTGATACGAAGGTTGAAAACGGGACAATGGCTCGCTTTTGCCACGAATAAAGTTAGACAATCACGATGACCAAATAGATTTACGAAGAATTATCCCTTTTGGAGACTTGCCGCCCGACCCTTCTAACTCAACAGTAAAAAAAAGAAATATTATTAGAGCAAAGAATTTTTTCCAGCAAAAAGTAAGTGAAGAAAACTATTTTAGCATTTATCAAACAGTTTTAGACAATTTTTATTTTTCGCTGATTATCCTCGATGAAGAGACTGATTCAGAAATCTTTATGACTCTAAACACGGCAGGAGAAGACTTAACCATCCCTGATTTAGTAAAAAGTGCACTTACTCGTCGGAACGATAATCAAGCTTGTGAATTTGCTAAGACTTGAGAGAAAAAAATAGTTAAAAAGGTTTGCTCTGCTTCCACTTCCAAAAAAAATCGGAGCGATAAGGTAAAAAGATTTTTAATTGTTTTCTGAGAAGTTCAAGAAAGCAACTGCTACAAAAGAACATTAGATGACAAGATAAATCGCTTTTATCGGGACAAGATTAAAAAAGGAGACAAGGAAGAAAACGCAAAATTTCTAGATTTGCTGGTAAAATATGCTGAGGTTTATGAAAAGATAATTAATGCTGATAATTATCGTTGGTGGTGGGAGCAAAACTGGTCTTTTGAAATGTTTAAGACTGTTTTTGACCTTCTCCTCCTATTGGAACGCAAAGAATTAATTTCCCAAGTTTTAGCAATCCATTTTCAATTTCAGGAAAAAACACAAGAAGAAAAATTAGCGATCACCAAAGAACTAAAAAAGTTGGTGGTTTATGTTTTCCGAGCCGTAATTGTTAAAAAAGGACTTGAAGATGCCGATGCCCTTCGAGCCATCCGAATTAATACTCTAAAAATGATAAATTCTGGTCAAACTTCACTATTTGAACAAGAAAAGTATCCAATTAACCTAATCATTAAAGAATTTCAACAAGGTTCAAATTTATTCTATCAAGCCCTTGGAGAACAACAAAACAAGAGAGACAAAGAATTTCAAAGTTGAAAAATTTATTTTATTGACCTATTATCAAAAGAAAATTGAGGACGAAGGACTAAACATAAACCCATTTGATTATGAGGTAAGTCAACTTGTATCGCAAAATTCTGAAATTGGGGAAATTAAAAATTCTTTGGGAAATCTAACACTAATAAAGGAAAAAGATGATCATCCTCTGCTTCCGTGAGATGAAAAGAGATTGATTTATAAAGAGTTAGGAAATAATTGCCTAATAAACCTTGAAGAAATAAACTGAACTGAAATAGAAGATATATGCGATTTAGTAGAGAAAAGAAAAAAATTCTTAATAGAAGAGTTTGAAAGACTTCGAATTTTTGAAGTTGATTAAATTGATAAGATCTAGTCTTTAAACTTATAAAACCGCTAGATGGTCAATGTTTTGGATTTTCTGCTGTTTCGTCTCTTTCCCTACTACCATTTTCATATCCCGAAATTGTTTTTCAGTTATGATAAAATATCTAACATTTCCTATTTTGGGACAATTTTTCTCTAACTTTTGGGCGGATTCCTGGGCATAATCAAAAGTATGACAAAGTTTAACATAAACTGAAAATTGCAGCATGTAATAACCACTCATAAGTAAAAATTTATGAAAATAACGAAAAGATTTGCGATTCTCTTTGGTTAGCGTTGGTAAATCATATAAGACTATTACTCGCATCTGCCGACATCTATCCTTTTTCTCCATTTTCCGGTTTTTGACCAATTAAAGTAGGAAGTTTGATTTTACTAACACTATTTTCTTTGAGACAAGAAACAAAAGATTTAATCATAATATCAATTGCTATATAAACCTTTGTATTTATATTGTTTATTTTAACCGGATAATATATGATTTTTGTGATTTCCTCTCTAATTTGTGAGGACAGATTATTTTCTTTTTCTAATATTGAAAGGTTAGTAACTACTCAATAATCAACAATTGGTCGCAATGGTTCAATAAAATCACTGCTTAAATTAAATCAATTAGTTGGTCCGCAATGCTTTATTCCTAAATGATCATTTAAACCATAACTAATAATAGTTCTCGAAAGAGTACTATTCAAAATTTTGTAGCCATAATTTAGAGCACTATTAATATTGTCATCCGCAAAACGAACAAATTTCGTGCCATATAACTTGCGAAAAAAATATTTGGCTACTGCTCCCTCCCGATTAGTTTTATCCCCATTTTCAACTTTTTTTAACTGACTTTTTATTCACTTTAAATCTTTTTTTGAACTCTGCTGTTCTAAAACTAAGAAACTGTTTTCAATCTTTTTTTGGATAATCTTTTTTCATAATAAATCCTTAAACCTCTGAGTCATTTTTAACTGCTTTCGGAAAACGCTCAAAGGAGAAAAATGCTGGTTCAAACTGATAAGTAAACCAGTCGGATCATATTTTTTGTTAGTTACTATTAAAGAAATATTATTTTCGGCTAATTTACTTAGTAAATGGCTGGTTATAAGGGAATGACTATTTTCGAGAATTATACAATTAATATCATCAAGCGAAAATTGCAGTTTAGTATTTTCTTTTTTATCAATTAAAGTAAGTTGGTCGTTATTGAGTTTTAACCTGTCATTGCCCCTCAATATTATGGGTTTTTCAATTCATTTTTAGTGCTTATTAAAAAATGACAGAGAACTAAAACTATTCATATTCAATTATGACAGAGAACTAAAACTCCAAAGGTTTAAAATAGTCATCGGGGCTGTATCTCGCTTTATTAAAATCTATTTCAATTCTTTTCAATTCTTTTGATTTCTTCACCCTTAATTCCATAAACAACAGGAAAAACGCCTTTATTGTTATTTTGCTTTATTTTGTAAAATTGCTAACTTTTTCAGAGTTAGCCAACTGTGCTTCTTTGTATGACATACTTTCTTGTTGTTGTTTTTATAGGTTCCGTTAAAACCTTAATTTGATTGGCTATGTGGTATAGCATCTGAAATCTTTATGATTTCTTAATTTAATTTTATATATTATAGTTCTTTATCTACTATACCTATATAACATTGCCTAAAAGTTAATAGGCTTTAAGAATTGTCTATACTCCACTTAATTTTCCGGCGGATAATTTTTATTTAAATAATAACTTAACATTTGGATATCAGTCGGATTAATTCCTCCTATTCGTCTGGCTTGACCTAATGAAACTGGTTTTATTTTAGTTAATTTTTCTTTGGCTTCATCGGCTACATTATCGATTTGGGAATAATCAATATCAGCCGGGATTTCTCTGTTTTCATATTCATTTAACTCTTTCGCTTCTTCTAATTGATTTTCAATTTGTTTTTTATATTTAACATTAACTTCTAATTCACGTTGTTCTTCTCAATTTAAATTTTTTATTTCCGGTATTCATGATAGAAATTCATTTAGTGAAACCTTATTGTTCCTTAGCAGGTCATAACCGTTTATGGCATTTATTGTTTTTCATTGACTAATGTCTAATTGCGGAAAGTCTTTAACCAGATTACTGTTAACTTTAAAAGTTAAATTTTGTAGTTTTTGGTTAATTTCAACCTGCATTTTCTGCTTTTTTTGAAACTCCTCTCAATTCTCTTCCGATAACAGACCTATTTGGTAGGCAGTCGGTCAAAGTCGAGTATAGACATTGTCATGTCTCAATAATAAACGATATTCAGCTCGAGAAGTTAATAATCGGTAAGGGTCGGTAATTTCCTTGTTTACTAAGTCATCAATTAATACTCCAATATAGGCTTGGTCTCGACGAAGAATTAGTGGTTCTTGATTTTTCAGTTTACGACTAGCGTTTATTCCCGCAATTAACCCTTGGGCCGCCGCTTCTTCATAACCAGTAGTGCCATTAATTTGACCAGCTGTAAAAAGACCCATAATTAACTTGGTTTCTAAATTAGTTTTTAATTGAGTTGAGTCTATTACATCATATTCAATGGCATAACCTCATTTTTTCACCACTGCCTTTTCTAATCCCGGCAAAGTTTTCAAAATTCCGGCTTGAATTTCGGCCGGCAAGGAGGTCGATAAGCCTTGAATGTAGGTTGTATCTAGTTCGCGAGACTCAGGTTCTAAAAATATTTGGTGTCTTTCTTTGTCGGCAAACCGGTAAATCTTGTCTTCAATACTCGGACAATAACGTGGCCCCGTGCCGATGTCTGGCTTATAAAAAATTGGTGAGAGATGGGAATTTTTTCGAATAATTTGATGCGTTTTTTCATTAGTGTGAAGTAGGTAACAAGGCAATTGCTTCTCAAAGGACAACAAATTAGTCTTTTTGCTGCAACAAGAAAATTTCAAGGGCAAATTAGTTCCTGGTTCCACTTTCAAACCAGAAAAATCAATCGTATTAGTTAAAATGCGGGGGCTAGTGCCAGTTTTAAAACGTTTTAACTTAAATCCTAATCCTTTCAACTGATGGGAAATATTATTAACCACCTTTTTTTCACCATCCGGTCCTTCAATTTTGCTTTCTTTACCCTGATAGGTAATGGGTTGTAAATAAGTACCAGTAGTCAAAATTACCATTTTGGATGAAAGGATTTTCCCATTATTTAATTCCACCCCACTAATTTTTCCTTCCGCAATTAACAGGTTTTTAACAGCCCCCTCAATAACTATTAAATTGCTTTGTTCACTTACTGCCTTTTGCATGTAGCGAGAATAAGCAATTTTGTCGGATTGAACTCGGAGTGCTTGCACTGCCGGACCATTAGAGGTATTTAGTAATTTAAATTGAAGAGCAGTAGCATCAGCTGCCTTACCCATTTCTCCCCCCAGTGCATCAATTTCTCGCACCACTACTCCTTTGGCTACTCCTCCCACTGAGGGATTACAGTTCATAGCACCAATTTTATTTTTATCCAGAGTAATTAAGGCGGCTTTGTGGCCTAAGCGAGCAGTAATTAAGGAGGCTTCAATGCCGGCATGTCCTCCCCCTATTACTATAATTTCGAACTCTTTGGACACAGTTTTGTTCATATAATAAAGAATTTTAGAATAATAATAAATACAATAATGAAACTAAGGAATTACAATATGAGAAAAAAAGAACTTAAAAAACTCTGATTTCACACCATCATTTTTATTGTTTTATCTTTACTAATTCTTGGTGTGTTTGGATTTTTCAGGAAAGAAGGGGGAGTTATAAAAATAATAAGCACTTTGGCTGGCTCAATAGTTTTGCCCTTATTTTCTATTGCTTATTCTCGGTTTATGTTGAAATGATTCCGGAAAATGAAAGCCCAGAATAAGTCGGGGGACTGGGATTATTTAATTTGGCGTTGAAGTAGTATCCTATTATTTGGGATAATCCTTTTAATACTTGTCACTGGTGGCATTATCGTTGGTCTAGGTATTGAACTCTATCAGTGAGTTAATAATTAGTTTTCGCAATTTTTTTGACAATACAAAATTAGTCAGAAAAACCTTTAAAATTAAGAAATCGGGAAATCTTTCCATCACTTCTTTCAACTCTTCTTGGTGAATAATTTGTCTGGTTAATAAACAATTTTTATTCTGATAAACTGCCACGCGATACTTTCAGAATAATTTAGGTCGGAATTTCTTATCGCCCGTTCGGATTAATTAAAGTTTAGTTATTAATAAAATTTATAATATTACAATGTGCAAAATTATTGCTCGTTTTTAGAGAAATCATAATTTAAACAATGCTCAAAATATTTAGTTATATCTTTTTCTTGTAATTCTTCTATACCTTTCTCTATAATGTATTTTAGTTCTTCAAGGGTTCTTGGCTCATACTTTTCCACATACTGCCTAAGGAAATTAAAGATTAGTTCCACAGGGTTCAATTGTGGACAATAAGCTACTAAATAAAGAGGATCAATATTCATTTTTGTTAACAATTCTCTAATTGGCAACCTACCTTTTTTTAAACAAGCCTTAACTGCCTTATGTATTTTAGCATTATCAAGCATTAAGTAATACTTCTCGCCATTAGGAAGATTAATCCCTTTAATGAAATCGTGAAAATCCACTGATTTAGCCCCTTTCTCAATTAATTTTCAGTGAATAACACCTTTACCATTTATATTTCTGACACATAAGAGCAAAGTGTAACGTTCCACAATATTTCCAGGTTTTCAAGAAATAACTCTTTCTCCTTTTCAACCCCAAGCTCTGCGAGGTGCTTCATTTAAATAGAAAGCACATTCATCTTCGGCTATAAGTTGTGCTGGAGGTAACTCTTTAACTCTATCCACATAAGGCTTTATTTTTGCTAAATGGGCTTGCTGTTCTAAGTAATGATAAGTTATTTCTTTATTGGTGATCCCATATTTCTTATACAAACGAGAAACAGTGGAACGGCTAACTGGTTGTTCTATCTTTTCTGAGAAAACTTGGGCTACTCATTTTTGGGGTTGTGATTTGTAAACAGTGCGACAAGCATGTAAAAAAGAGAGGTCGTAACTTTTGATTTTAGGTGGTCGGCCAACTTTTTTCTTTTCTTTGAATTCTTCCTCTTTTCTCCATCTTCTGATTGTTCATTCGCTAACTCCACCACAAAATTCTCTTATTTCTTGTCAGGAGAAACTTTTTTCCCGTAATTTCCTTATTTGCCAAGGAGCGAGTTTAGTGATAGTTTTTTTAGGTTTAGTTCTTATAACTTCTTCCTCCAAAGGCTTTTCAAACTTGATTAGTTCAGGTATTTCAAACTTTTGGATATTCTGAGCAAAGTTTTGAAAAAACTTTTCTTGATGGTTTTCGTTCACTGATAAGTCTAATTCACCTGCTATCTCAGGGATATGATTTACTTTTTTATCGCTGTAAAAAAAGTCTTTTATTCCAGTTTGAGTATTAAAGAAAGTGTATTTACGGAGTTTTTTGTCAGGGAGTTTTTCTACCGAGAGGATTTGAGCGGAGGGGATAGTGATTTCTTGCATTATTTTCTTTTCTTCTTTCATATAACTAAACCGATTATTCCCACTACCAAAATTCCTCCAATTACCAAAATTCAGATTCATGCTGAACCACCTTTATTTTTCTTCCGATCAGGATATAAATCGCCTTCGATGGTTTCGATATTCTTTTCTATCACCTTGGCAACTTCTTGCTCCCCATTCTGTTTTAATCATCTAATCATTTCCTCAATTTGAGGTTTAACTCTTTCTCACTCTATTTGTCCCTCTTTTAATCCTTCTTCTTTAATCATTTGCTGAATCATTAAGCGAAAATGCTTCATTCCGCAAGAATTACATAACCCTGTCTCAGGATTTATGATAACATTGCTTCTACCACAATCAGGGCATCTTCCTTTTTTGAATTTGCTAGATATAGGTAGATTGTTTTTCTTCTTGTAATATTCTGAGCATTTACTGTTATGGCACTTACCATCAGTGCGATGATAACCACACTTTGGACACTCTTTCTCTTTTAAATTCCTTAAGGTGTCATCGGCTCGGCAAGAAGCACAGAGTAATTTATCTTTTTCTCATCTAACATATTGGTCGACTCTGCCACATCGTTCACATTTTTCATCTCCTCCCCTGCTGTTACTGCAAACTTGACAATAACCGCCAACCGCTAACATTCCACATTTAGGACACTTGTTATTTTCTAATCATTTACCACTTCCTGGTAACGGAGTACCTTCATTTTTCTTTTTTTCTCCACAAGATTTACAATAATAAACAGTCTGAGGACTAAAAGAGTCAGGTATAACTTGGCTATAGTATTTTTCTCCCAACTTGATTTGTCTTTTGCAATCATGGCAAGTAGTAGTGGAATCATTTTCTTCTCCTTCTATTTCTTCTCAGCACTTTTCGTGATAATCACCTGCTTTGGGATTGTTTGAAATCTTAGTATAAGTATCCCCGTAACTAAAAGGTTTATGGCATTTAGAACACTTATGAGAATTACTGCAAGTTGCTAAATGCCTGTCAACTAATTCTTTTAGTTTGGTTTCTTTGGCTTGTCAGTCTTTCTGGTAGCATTCGGGAGAATGACCTCCCCCATTGCAATTAAGATTAGCACACTCGAATTTTCAAGTGAAGTCTTTTATTTCTTCGATTATTTTGCCACATTGGCATTCCCATCCTATTCCTGGCATGATTTTATTTACTTTTCATAAGAGTCTATAAAGGACTCAAATTCATTTGGAGAAAGAGGACCATTATTCTCGGCTCGCTCTCTTAAACCTTTAACAATTTTCCTAGCAGCCTCTCCTTTAAAAAATAAACCTTTCGAACCTTCATCCATTAACTTCTCTATTTCTTTACTCAAACAATTATCACATTTTCAATACCTAATAAGCATTAGTCTTGATTCGCTTAGAATCTTTTTACAACGAGAACACTCGTTTAAATTATGAATATTACTTTCCATAAATTTATTTTATATAGTTCCTTTTTATAGAACCATATCTAAAAGTAAAAAAAATATTATTTCTATATCACTCCGTGATATAGGTAACTACGAAGGGTCTGCCTTTTTCTCTTGTTTTTTACTAAATTAAGAAACTCCTTTTTTGATTTTAGGTAGAAATTTTTCACACAATCATCACACCATTTTTTCCCTCTTTCTTTTTCAGATTTGTTTCTCATTTCTTTGTAATCTCAGTTATCATCTACTCAGTAGTTCCAATAATTTTTCTGACTTGGCATGCCGATTCCCGGATTGTATTTTATAAAAAATTTCTTCTTACAAGAAAAGCAAGTAGTTTTTAGAGGTTCTGGGAAACCTCTTTCATTAACCAGTCCTAGTTGCATTTCTTTTTTACTACTAATACTGTTTTTTTTTTTTTTTTTTGTTGGAATTGTTCCCATATGTTAATTTTTGATTCATATTCTAAATTAGGGTTAGTTTTTAGTTTCATAAATTTTTAAAAAACGAGCAATAATTTTGCACATTGTAATATTATGAATATCTATCATGGAGTTGTTAGAGGTGGCAACCGTATCGTTCACTGCGATCGCTTGGATGAGTTTTTTAAAGAGTTTATTGAATATCGTAAATGAAAGGCTAAAAGTAATAATTTTAACCAAGATATTTTTCCTTTCCAAGAATGAAAAAAAGCAGATAGTAATCATCCCCATAACCTAGAAAAAGACTGATATTGAGCCATATTCTACTTAAACTTAGACAATGACAAGACTAAAAAACCAATAGTTTATTGAGAGAAACCGCTTGGTTGAGAAACTGAATTTGATTATTCAACTAGTTGAGACTTAGGAATAAATGTTTCAAAGGCCTTTAAAATCAAAAAAAGCGATTCTTCGGAAAGTAGTAAGTGAAGACAATGAAACCAACAAAAAGAAAAAATTGAAAAAGTCTTAAAGGATATTTGGACTACGGGAAAAATAGGAGATACTTATGGTTTAGACTTAGGTTGACCTGCTAATCAGCAAAGTAGAGAGAACCAAGAAAAATCATCTAACAAAGAGACAGTTTGGTGAATAGGTGGAGGAATTATTTTTCTGCTTTCTGTTTCGTTTCTTATTTGCCTGTTTAGGAAAAGAAAGAAAATTAGGAAATAAAGGTCGAAGTTGCTTGTATCCACGGAGCAGCAGATTAGAATGGTTCAGAAATGATTTTGGTTCGGAATTGGACTTAGTTTTTTTTAAATTTGTCTGGTAAAAGTTTTGAAAAATAAGTTATAAAATTAAATAAATTATTTTGAATTTTGTTTTTAGAAATTAATGTTCACCTTACCTTAAATTAATAAAGTATATCCCATATTTATTTTTTGATATGCTTTTTTTGAATATTATTACTAAAATTCTTTGATTTACTTTTTAGAAAAGCCTACACAATTTCTATCTATAAAAAAAGACTTTTTTTTTAAGAATATTTACGATTTTTTGAAAAAGGTGGGTTGTGATTGCGTTTAATTTGTTTTGACTTTTGCTTTTTGTTTTTAATTGCTAATTCTTTTTAGAATATAACGAAAATGGGAAACAACCAATCCGGAGAAGAAATTTTTGCAGATGTCGTCAGAAAAGTTGGTTCCGTTGCCTTGGCTGTCAGTTATTTTACCCCCGCCGCAGCAATAACCGTTCCAATAACAGCTGGTGTAGCAGTTGGAGGATTAACAGCAACAGCCATTGGTCATGCCGCCGATGTTGAGGATGCCAAAAAAGCAGGAAAGTGGCTTAGAGGGTTGGCTTTCGATGCCGCGATTGATGGAATTTCTGGTGGTGCCCTCGAGGGGGTGAAATTAAGCAAGACAGCAGCCGAAGCAATCAAAATGGGGTGCGAAGTTTGGAGTAGTGCTGAAGAAGAGAGTGAAAAGTTAAAGCACTTTAATAGACAGGAATTTTACATTCCCACCCCCGACCCTCAAAAAACTCTTCTTGTTGTCAAAAATCTTATTTAAGTAAGTATGAACAGTTATTGACAAAAGTATGATATCAAGATGGTTGGTTTACTCTTGCTTGAAATCTCTATTCTTACATCGTTTTATTTTTCTTTTTTTTCTTTCATGCTGAAAAAAATTTAGGAAAGGCTGACTTTCTCGGAGATGATGAATTTTTTTTTATTTTCTTCTCTTTTCTTTTTCCTTTTTTTTCTTTTTCGGACTCCTCGCTGAAAAATTGTAAATCTAATTTAAATTCTTTGAACTGGGAGGCATGCCTTTGGTTTCTCTATTATTACATCGGTTTCGTGGTGGGAGGCTGGATTTCTCTCTCTCTCTCTCTCTCTCTGCTAACTATTAGCAACTGCCAAGCAGGGAATTTTAAGTTAATAAGAAAATTTTGGTTTTGGATTAATTCTTTCCCCTCCTTAGTAAATTGAGAAACTTCTGGGAGCAAGTTTGGTTTTTGGTCTTCATCGTGGAAGATTTTTCTCTCCTTTTGGTTCGTTAAAAGTTCCAAAAATGGATTGTCAGATTTTAAAACTGGCTGATATTCTACTATTTTTTGCTTGGCTACTTGAAGGGCCGCAAATCTTTTTAGGTAATTTTTTATTAATAATTTAATGTTCTTTGGCATAATGGGATTACATATAAACTTTTTAACAAAAAAAAGCCTCCATGATTTATTTTTCAAATTAAATTTCCGCCTTTGGAAGCGCTACCAAATATTAACTAAGTTAATATCTTAATAACTTTTTAACCGCGGGAGCGGAAAATAATTTTGCATGCTATAATAAACCTTAAAATTATAATATAGAATGGTAGCAGTAAAAAAAGGTTCCAAAAAAGAAATTAAAACCAAAAAAAT